TTTTAACATTTCATTCTCCATTATCAATTGGAATTTAATTTGGTTAATTAGGGAAATTTTCTGAAAAGAAACAGAAGATTTCCACTGTCTGGCTATAATGATTTTGACTACAATAAAGCAGTGAATTGCTAAACAAATATGTTTATTTGATTTGAAAGGCAAATTCAGGTGAAGGAGGGCCGAAACTGGGTTTTTATTTATATCTTTAAATGATGCCTCTTTCATAGAAATTTCAGAAAAAATATTATAGGTCCAGGCCCATAGTGGTTTTACTGCTGGGCAGAACCACCATATATGTATATATGTACCCAGGTAGGTACCACACCTCCAACAAGTGGAATCTTGAGAAGAATACATTTTAGCTAATCTTGTCGGGGTGTAATACCATCTATAAAGTAGCTTAAAATGACAGTCAAGTTTAGACCATGAACATATTTGTTTACTAAAATTATAGAAGAGAACCATTCCTTTATAGAAATGACTAAATTAAGATCCTTTTCCCAAGATTTAACCAATTTGTAGGGAAAAGTGTCTAGACCTTTAAACAACTTATTAGCTACCGAAACAACCTTGGGTACCGTTTGAAATGAAAAAAGAGTTTGCAACTCTTTAGCCCAAGGAAAAGAAGATTGAATAACATGTTTCTGAATATAATGTTTAATGCGAAGATACGTAAATAATTCTTTAGATGGAATATGGAAATTATCCACAATCTGCTGAAATGGTAAAATAACATCTCCCTGCATAATGTCCGATAACATAAGTATATCTTTGTTAGGCCAGTGTCTCAAAGACAGATCCTCTACATTATTTTCTAATATATTTAGTTTACATGTTTTGGGGATTAAATAACTAACACCCAAAATTTTTCTGATTTCGACCCATGTTTCCAAAGAGTGAACCAACGATATTAAGCCTTTAGGCAAATCCGTTAGAAACTTCCCAGGATCTGACCATATATATGAATAGAGAGCAGATACATGTAACGCTTCAGACTCCAAATTATACCAGGACTCAGAGAAAAAAAAAGGTTCTTGTAAAATATATATATGTCGTATAATATTAGCATAGTATAGATTAGTAATATTTGGATAATTTAACCCTCCCTGAGAGAATTTGTTAGTAATATATTTTTGACTTATTCTAGGTTTTTTATTTTTCCAAATAAATTTATTTATGGCAGATTGTATCATAAAAAGCCACATCTTAGGAATTTTAAGGGGAACCATTGAAAATAAGTAAGACCATTTTGGTAAAATATAAGAGTTAATAATGTTAATTCTACCTATCCATAATGTTTCTAGATTTTTCAATTTTTTTAAATTTTGGTTCATTTCCTTCATTAACTGCATAACGTTCCTCTCCATTATTTGGGAGGCATTGGCGGGAAAACTGAGGCCCAAATAATTAATTTCTGAGTCTGTCCAAATAAACTTGTATTTTTGGGATAACCTTTCAACCTGAATCAAGGGTAAATTGATAGCCAAAGCAGTAGATTTAGAGACGTTTAGCTTGAAATTAGAGATATTAGAAAAATTAACAATTTCATCCATTAATGATGCCAATGAGTCTTCTGGAGATGTAAGAGTTACCAGAGCATCATCGGCATATAATGCAATCTTAATATCTTGAGATTTTGTAGGAACACCCTTTATTAACTGATTGTTTCTAATATTTACCGCAAGAGGCTCAAGAGATAAAATGTAAAGAAGCGGTGACAAAGGACAGCCCTGTCTTGTACCATTTTTGAGGTCGAACCACGTCGAAGTAATATTAGGACCTACAGTTCTAGCTGAGGGGGCAGAGTATAATATCATAATAGCAGTATGAATCCAACCCGTAAAGCCATATACATTGAGAAGTTCACTTAGATATCCCCACCCGACCCTGTCAAACGCTTTTTCTGCATCCAAAGACAGGGCCAGGAGGGGCTCTTTATTGGCTTTAACAAGAGCAATAATATCTATAAGCTTTCAAGTATTATTTGATGCCCATCTTCCTGGAATAAACCCTATTTGATCAGGATGTACAAGTTTAGAAATGACCATTTTCAATCTCTCAGCTATAATAGCTGAATATATTTTCATGTCCACATTAATTAATGCAATTGGTCTATAATTTTTTGGGTCCGTACTGTCTTTGCCCGGTTTTAGAATGGGAACAATATTTGATTGTAATAATTCCTTTGGGATATTCTCACTTTCTGCTGCTTGATTAAACATATTAGTAAGGGGTTTTAAAAGATAAGATTTCATATATTTATAATAAAGATTTGAAAAACCATCAGGACCGGGAGTTTTGTTTATAGCTAATCTGTCAATTTGAGATTGTACTTCTTCCATAGAAATTTTTTTATTCAGAATAGTCAAATCCTGGGCAGAAATTCTCGGAATATGAGAATTTAATAAATAACTCTTAATATCCTTTAATTCTGGGGATAGCCTTAAATTGTACAAATCTTGATAAAAATGATTAAACTTTTGGCCGATCTCCAGTGGAGTGGTGTATATAATTTGATCAACCACCAGTTTTTCTACTCTATTTTTAGCGTATTGATTACGGAGCCTCCTAGTGAGACTCTTACTCGCTCTGTTGCCCGAAATATAATGATTTAGTTTTAATTTATCTATATTTGACCTTATTTTGTCCTCTTCCTTTAAATTGATTTGAAGTTGTAGATCTTTTAACTTAGTTCTCAACTCCGGGGAAGATTGTATTTTATTCATTTTAGAACATGAATAAAATTCAATATATAAATCAGACAATTTTGTTCCTTTATTTTTCTTAAAAAGATAGTCTAATTTAATTATGTAACCCCTCGTTACAGATTTATGAGAACACCAATTTATTAGGGGAGAGGTATCTTGCAGGTCATTTTCTGCCCAAAAATATTCTAATAGTTTAATCAAATCCTCCCTTTTCTTAGAGTCCTTCAAAATGTCATCGTTTATTCTCCAGGTATTGCGAGGAAATGGAGTAGAGTTACCAAGAGCAAATATAACGAAACTATGGTCTGACCAAGTGTTTTCTTTAAGGTCAATATAATTAAAAAGCGGAATTGTAATAGCATTTGTTAAACAAAAATCAATCCGGGAATATGTTCCATGCACACCGGATAAATGGGAAAAATCTTTTTTAAGGGGGTGAAGTAATCTCCAAATATCATATAAATTATGTTGCCTACATATATTATTTAATCTTTTAGCTTGCTTAGTGGATCCTGTGTTAATATTAGATAAGGGAGATATCGTAGTTCTATCCAAGAGTGGATCACCAACACAATTAAAATCACCAGCGATAATCAAATATCCCTTATTAATTTTGTCCACTTTATCCATTATCAGAGAGAATTTAGTCATTGGATCAACATTAGGTAAGTACACGTTGACCAATGTATAATGTTTATCTTTGATCTTACAGACCAAGATAATGAACCTCGCTTCTGGATCAAGTTCAATATGTAGGATATCTACATTAATATCTTTACTAAATATAATTGCCACACCCCTTTTTTTATTTTTAATTAGTGAGGCATGAATTGCCGTTACAAATTTGTCTCCACCCCATGTTTGATTAATATCTTTAAGCCAGTGAGTTTCTTGTAGAAAAGCTACCTGTATATTTTGTTTTATCAGGGAGTCATACAGTCTGTATCTTTTTTTATTTGTATTAAGCCCCTGAACGTTCAGGGATAGAAACTTCAGCATATCAATACCTTAAAGAGATATTTTTGGACTTCAAAAAAAAAAATTATTCTTATTTTTAATGAATTACTTATAATAATTATTTATGTATTATACTATATCTTTGATTGATCTAATATACTGTGCTTATTTCATGTTCTGTTCACCCCTTTTCTCTATGATGGAACTTTTTAAATAAATGGAGTTCATTTGCGTTTCAATGCTGGATAAAGACCTAGTTGCCTCTTCCGGGTTTCGGATGTAAGGATGCAGTGGAACGCATGTGCGTTCCAACACTGATACGCATCCTCTTCTGGCTGCGTTTGAAAACAAGGTTTGAGACGCAATCACCAGGAAATGAAGTGAGAAAGAGAAATGAAGACGACGGACGCGATTCTTTACAAGTAGATCAATTTTGAACTGGATTTTGATTGGCTACGTGGCCAGTAATGGATTTTTAGCAGGGTATTTAAAAACTGTGCTTAGTGTGTTGTGTATGCAATTTGCCACACGCTCCTGACAAAGTCATTAACACAAAACGTGTAGGGTGGCAGGATTTCTTCAGTTGATTATTATCTTATTGTGGACTCTATTATTTACTTCGTCTCCAAACCCTGATGGTCATTTATTTGCTGACTGGGAAGACGTCTAGTGATTTGATGAGCCTTTTTACTGCTTTTATCTTGTAAGTGCAAACAATAAAGTTATCCTTTTATTCATACAGCTATAAACTATGTTTTGCTTTTGTGCTTTGTCTTAAGCCTCCACTCTGGAACAGGAGAAGAAAAGAAGCACTTGAAAAGATTCATATACCCCGCCTATTTTATCCTTATGTTTGTGAGTGCATTTTAGTTTTTTTCTATATTTTATCATTTGTTTTTATCTACACTATTGCGGTCTCCCTTTGCTTTATATTTTTAGGTTGTGCATTTTTTATATTGTTTTATATTTACTGTCAGGGTTTCAGAGTGAGGACACAAGTAGTGTCTGTACTGTACTCTTTTCTTCGATTCTCCTTGTTTGATCCCCGGTACTTCGTATCGCTATTTCTCCTTGTTGCTTAGCAACCACAGTCTTTGATTGCCATTAGGTTGCTTTGCAAACACATAGAGCATGTCACGCGCACCTCACCCACGTGGATGACCAAACTTCCGGGTTCAATCAGTCTTCGTGCTGTCTTCACACTTCATTGTTAATAAATTGTGGATCCTTCCATCATTGGGACCTTCCTGTCTGTTCCATATAAATTAAGGAGGAAGAAACCAGAAAGATATGCGAGTAGTGGGTGGTTGATATCCCCTAAAAAGATCACGGAGCGCTACACACTAGAGCCAGATGACCGGTTGGCTCTACTCTTATGAGTTGTGAATTACCATTTATTTTCTGTTCACATCCATATATAGTTCATACTATCTGCACTATGTTTATGTTGCATATTACTTACAGATCACTGTGAAGGAATACCATTGAATTTATTTGTCATTTTTCCAAGTACTTCAGGTACTTTAAAGCTCCACTTATATTCTTTTTTTTAGACTTTTGGTGTTTGTGAAGGTTAAGGGGATCCTCTACATAAGTGTTGAGCTTGGATTGTTTTGTTTAAGTGTGCACTTTCTTGTTTGTTGTTTTATATTTAAGTTTAAGAAGACACTGAGGAGTCTTCGCACTTCCTACCAAATTTATATTTCAATTTTTTCCCCTTATAGTCACAAGGTTATTTTTTTGCACTTTGTGCTATTTTTTGCTTATATATTCGGACATCTTGCAAACAAATTCAAGCAGAAACTGTCCAAAAACTCACAAGTTCAATGGATGCAAGACTTTTGAAGCTGCTATCAAATAAGGGGTCCTATGTTAAAATGTTACGTGACTTGTTAAAATGCTTAAAAAGTTAAAATGTTGTTATAAGTTTGATTGAAATTTTGATTTCAGTAATTATGCTGCAAACACAACAAATGACAATTTTCAGTTCTTTAAGACCTATAAAGTGTTTTGAAACTTACTGTGCGTAATAATTTGCAACAGTGCATTGTAAGTTTTTTATGTATAAAAAAATACTGTTATCATTAGGAGGTTTGTTCAATAAAATTTGAATTTTACTCTTAATAGTTGATAACATGAGAATTATGCTGACTGTTATTTATATGAATTATTTAGGTAAATTAGAAAAATATAATTTGCATAATAATTTGGAACAGGGTGTATATAGATATAATATATGTATATATATAGATATATATATATATATATCTATATATATACATATTATTTTTTTTAATTTTTTTTTTGACAATCTCGTTTTTATTAGAATTTAAGGTAATGAATACAGAACAGAACATAGTACAAAAAGAAAAACCCCGGCACTCAATTACGTGATGGTTGCGTCTTGCAGTTGCCTCGGTACCCGAGTGCCGCGTCCCCCTTCCACCTCTGCTAGGGCTCCCCCTCCTGCTCACCAACTCGCCCCCTTCCACCCCACCCCCCTTACCCCCGCAACCGGCTTCTATACGGTGATATGTAATACCAAATCCAGTAAACGAGCGTTAGTTTGCTGCCCATCGCACCCCCTGCTCGTTTCACTATAGCTAGTGTTTCTAAGGTTCTTTGCCTTATGTGTCCCTACTCTAGGCATCAGGGCCTGTGTCGCTTGCCCTTCCTGTTAGCAGGGTAGTGTGGACATTGCGCCTGGTGTCCCCACGACCATAGCAGGTGAGTTTTATGGAGTGGTCTCCTGTCACCACTTGGCGGGTGTCCCCCAGAGGTTGTCCCTCTCTCCGGTCCCTCCAGTGTATTCGTGGGTCCTAAGACTGAGTCGTATCTGTAACAACTCGTTGTCCTCTACTCCTCGCCCCGTTGTCTATTTTACCCCAAACATCTGCAGTATCATCCCCCCTGTCTCTAGGCCCCGGAGTTCTAGAACCTCCCTGCCCACCATCCTGCAGCGTACAGCTTAGTTCTCCCCTGCCCTCTCACCCTTCCTCCTCTCTCTCATCCCCTCTCCCGAACCGTGTCTCTGCACTCCGTCCTGTGTCGGGAGTGTTACCTAGTCGCCCATCACTGGTTAACGTTGCTCTTGTGCTAGGCTTGCGCCCAGTGTGTCCCTGTCTCGGTCCCCCCGCTCCCCCTACTCATAGCAGGTCCCCCCCCCGGACACCCCTCCGTCGGGACTACTGTCATTTAGCACTCGTCACGTAGTGTGGGCTGGGCGGGCCGGTACATGTGGAGGCCGTAGCCGGTTCCCTCAGGACATCTCCCCCTCCATGGGTCAGCAAGGCCGGCGGCACCGCGGCATCTCCGTCTCCCCCGTCCCCCCTCCCCCTGCGTGCCCCTCCGCCTTGCCCTCCTGGCCATGTAATCCACCCACGGGAACCAGGTCGTTGCACATTTGTCCGTGCATCCCTGCAGGGAGGCCGTCATCATCTCGAGGTTATATATATCTTCCACCCTATCCACCCATTGCTGAAAGGTGGGGACTGTGCGACTTTTCCAGTTAATCGGTATTAGGGTTTTCGCGGCCGTTAGCAAGTGTATTGTCAGGCCCTTTTTATAGCTCCGCAGCGGCGTTTGCGTGTGATTAAGCAACGTCTGCAGCGGCTGCAGGGGGAGGTCTGCGTCCGAGATATCCCTAATTGCTTTGTATATCTGCTGCCAGTATGGTTCTATTAGCGAACACGACCACCATACATGAAGTCTCGTGCCCGGTTCCAAGCCGCACCTCCAGCACTCCCCGGGGATTGACTCGTGAACATGACGTAATGTATCTGGGGTTCTGTGCCAGCCAGTTAAGATTTTGTAGTTACATTCCTGATATTTGGAGCATATGCTCCCTTTGTGTGTCAGCAGAAAGATTTTGTCCTATTCATATTATTTTTTATTTAAAGTTTTTTTTGTTTTTTTTTACAGACATGACATAAAGTGGTATTGCGATGGTGTAAAAGTATCAGACATGTTGAGAAAATTGCACCATTTTTTTTTAAACAAGCAGTATGAACCAGATATCACGCTTATGTAACAATAGTTAACTTTTAGTTGTTTGATGGATACCCGGTGTGGTGGGACCATGTGTTCTAGTATGTGTGTCCGAGATTAGTTGTCGCTTGACCTGGGCCCTCTTTTTTGGGGGTCGCTTGTCTTTCTGGTGAGTGCTGCAAGAACATCCCTGTCGTGACTGCAGTCGGTACCCTTTCACTTGTGCTTATGGGTCTGTGGTGCCTGGCTGAAGGCTAGCTAGGTGTGGTCAAGTACTGCGTTGGGCGGGTCTGTGTTGGGCCCACTAGAGTTGCTGCAGTCAATCGTTCATTGAGTGGGTATGAGTATGCAAAAGTCTGTGGGTGTGGCAGTCTGTGGGTGCCTCTCGTTGTGAGTGGCGTTGGTGGTCTGTTTTGGGGCCTATATAGAAGTGGTGTTGTGGTGACAAATAAGTGGGCTGGTTTGGCTTGTAGTGCCCCTAACCAAGGGGGCGGGGGTGAGTCGTGGTGGGTGTGTGGCCCTATTCCTACCCTTCCGTCACCAGGGGGGTGCACCTTGGTGCAGCAATTAGTGCCTGTTTGTCTTGGGCTAAGGCGCAACGGACTATGACGTCACTCACTGAGTTTGTTGGGGCTTTTGGCGATTTTGGCAGGCGGAATATGCCATCAAAGGCAAACTTTTTGGCTTGTGGAGGTGGCAGTAGTGAAGCCGTTAGTCACCTCAGGTAATGGGGCATCTCTGCTACTGTGACAGACTCCGGCACCCCTCTTATCTTCAGGTTGTTGCGCCTGGAATGGTCCTCTAGCGTAGCAAGGTGTGCTGAAAAAGCTTGTTGCGTCTTTTGGACGGTGTGAATAGAGTCTTTCATTTTGAATACTTCTTGCCTCACACCTATGATGTCCTCTTTGCTTGCTCTTACTCTGTTCGTGACCCTCTGTAGGTCGGCCTGAATGACTGCTATGTCTGTGGCTAGCGTCTGGCGAAATTCAGTAAGGTAGTTTTTAATGTCCTGCTTGGTGGCCAGGGCTGATAAGTCAGGAAGGCCTGTAGTTGGTGCCCCTGCCATTTGTGGTGGGGTGTGTGCTGGAGGGTGAGTAAGTGCTTGGACCTGAGGGACAGCCGGGAGCTCCTTGTACTCTGGGGCCACCATTTTGGGCTGGGCCTGTCATTGTAGAAGGGCCCCTATGTCTTAGAATTCAGTTTGCACACCTGTTGTGGGTTTCTGGGAGCGTCTCCCCATATTTGTGGGCTGCTGTGCTGTTGATGGTCTTTCTGTGCCCCAGTTCAGCTCTCCCTGGTGTGGGATGTGCCCGAAAAGGTCCTCCAGGTGTGCAGGAAAATGGAAGGCCGCTGCCTTTTTCCGACGCCAGTTTTGTCAGTTTTTTGCAACAAACAGCATGAATCGATGCCGGGTGGCCTCTGCTCACTTGTACTGTTGTTGGTGTGGCAGATGGGCTGTAAATTGTGTGATTTTCGGCGGATTGAGCAGAGTGCCGTCGGAGCAGTGGAAAATGGCGCCTGCTTCGTTCCGCGGCTAAGCCCTGCCTCCCCATTTTCAACTTTTTTCACCAGCAGGGGGACTGTCTGTCAGTTCAGACAGTCCCCCTGCTGGCAGCACTGTGGACACCTATTGCACATGGCCCCTGGTGGTCCTAATTTGCAGAGGGGGAACTGTCTGGGCTATCAGACAGTCCTTCCAGTGAAGCAGAAGACCGATCACCAGCGGGGGAACGGCGGCGATCGGATAAGTGGAGAGGGAGGGAGGGTAGGGGTTATTTTTTTATTTAATTAATGAATTTATTTTTGTTTAATTTTAACTGAGTGCCTCGACCCCTTGACATCGCTGCAATACCCTTAGAGCAGCTGGAAGTGATCATGCTCTAATTAGCCGTGGACATGCAGGGTACGTCCACGGCCCTTATGGTTATTTTTTTAGTTTTTTAGTTTAAAGTTCTACTATTCTGTCACACCATAAGCGGCATTGTGAGGGTCAATAATGGAGGTGGCAGGCAGCCCTTAATATGAAAGAGACAAAATGTGTCCTAAAATTCATGTTTTTAAACACATATTCAATTTCAAATACTTGGACAAATAAATTGCATTTAATAAAATTAATATTTCTTTCATAAGCTGAAGAACCAACACAGGCCTCAGTTTAATAGTTTTCTTTCAAATGTTTTTATTAAATTTTACACATTAAAATAATTGTACATATCAATAGTAACAAGTTGTGTAGAGTGTAGAATGTGACAATTACAATATTAATAATAAAATAAAAATGAAAAACAAACTAACAAAGAGAAAAAATGGGGGTATAATAATAGATTTAAATGTAGTTACTAATATATATTAAAATAAAAAAGGGACAGTACAGTATGTCATATATGTTTTATATAATTATGTTTTTAAATAATATTATACATGGTAATTATTATAAGAAAATAAAATATTTTATTTTGTCAGGTGGGAAATATGGTCAAAATTTGTACTGAAGCCTAATTTTATCTTCCCAAGCTATCCATTCTTGTTTTAGAGTAGACGGTTTTTTCAGACGGAATGTGAAGTGCTAGTTCATAACCTCTGTTATCAAAAATTGTTAAGAGAACTTAATTCACTGATGGTCTAACACATGGGTCGCCAACCTGGTCCCTACTGCCCAC